CCCGCTTATAAAGCAAACGCTCCAACCACTGCGCCACGGCCGCATATTATTCACTTATTCACTGCCGTATTATTGCGTGGGGCAGTATTAACAAAACAAAACGAGATCCTCTACATCGTCATCAGAAATATATAGCACGTTTAGTTGATTCTTGGGATCGACGAACTCATTCAAAGCCTCTCTTAAGAAAAATGAATGTTTTAAACATATATTAACTTAACATATATAATATTCTTTGTTAAATGTAAACAAAATTATCTCCGTCTCCGTTTCATAGTTTATTTATAACAAAACAAAAAAATAAATACTATCTACGATATGATGATTTTTTGATGCAACCATTTTCGAAAACTAATCATTGTAAATTTTGCGTATCATTTCATGGACAGTATCTTTGGAACAAAATTGTCTTAAATAACTTTGATTTTTCTTTTGAATGGAATTACATATCTTTTAAAAAAAGTTGAAAGAAATAGTTTTAAAATTAACAATATACAAATGTACTTTTAAAACCTTTTAAAATTATTTTTATCTTTTATTTATATCGATTTATATCACTTGTGATGTTTAATTTTTCTTGTTATGATTAGTAACTCAATTATTTACAATATGCAAGCCTATATTGCTATTATATTATCTGTCAAATTAATCTTTACGAAATTTTTTGTGAACTTCTAATTTTTTTGTAATCATTTTTAATTTAAATTTTGTTATTCTTTTATTATTGCAAAACACTTACTTTTTTATTTACTACGTAAAGTATTTAACTTGTAAAAATGCTAAAACGTCTTTTTACAGCGGTACTGGGCGACAAGACCTTGTGGTCTTCTATGAGTTTCTGCATTCTTTATATAAATATATATATATATATATATATATATATATATATATATATATATATATATATATATATATATATATATATATATATATATATATATATATATATATAGTAAATATTTTTACTTGTAATTGTTTATATTTTTTAATTTTAGCTTGTAAATTTTATGAAATATTAACGTGATGTTTTAAAATGTAATAAAGAACAATAACAACAATAACTAAAAAATTAAAATGTCATAAACAATTTCCTGGTTTTTAATGCAACCACAGCTACTTAATAAATGTTTTCATTATTCAACAGTTAAGTATTATTTATTACATTTTATACACTATTCAACAACTTATATTGCGGAAATTGCATTCTAAAATGCAGGAGGGAATTCTAAAATAAAGGAAGGAAATTTAATGCTCATTTTTAAATTTTAAGTGAACCCAATATTTTTATATCTTCTGTATTTGGAAGAAACAGAATGCCACTGCATTGTTCCTAAATTTTTTTTTACTGTATTTTTTAACCTACTATATTTTGTTTTTCTGTTGTTTTTTTTTTTACTTTTTTTTTTGTATTTGGGGTGGTTATCAATTGTTAGGAGAGGTTGATATTTGAAAGGGTGGGGAGGGAAGTTGTAGATTTGTTGTAAAAATTAGAGATTGAATTCATTCCTATAATATGGGAGGGGAAAGGGCTGTACTGTACAACAAAGGCGTAAGAGAGGGGGGGGGTGCAAATGAATAAATCTTTTTTACCATAAATATCTCACCAAATTGGGGATTTTTTTTATTTTATTTAAAAGTTAAGTTCAGTTTTAACCGACCGAGTCTCAAATTTTCTAAATTACTGACAAAACCGACAGAATGTTGTAAACCTGGGAAGGTGCCCACAACCCAGTCGGTGCGGCCTTGGCAGGGGAGATTATTTTTTATGTGCGATTATTACTGCGTACTACCTATAGCATGCAGCACATAAAAAATTTAAGTTAAACGTTCAATAAGCGTACCAAATTTGATTTAATTGACTAAAGGGCTTTACTTGTACATTCCATGCTGATTGGGTGTTTATAAACAGTTGCAACAACATCATAGGCAGTTGTTTCCGAGCTGAAAAAAAATAAAAATAATCGAACTTTGCTTAAAAAATTTCTTTTTGAATAACAGTTTAGTTCGACTAGGCTCTAGGATTTACAATTAGTAAAGTGTTGAATTATGAGAAAATAATATTTATCGCCTTAATAAAGCTTCCTCGGGTGTAAAATTTTTATGCGAGTTATTTCTTTTTTCAAGCACTAAGTCTTGCTTTAGTCTACTAAATTTAGTTACACTAAATATTTAGTCGACTAATTTGAGTTAACTATAAAGTTAGTCGCGTAAATTTAGTTAACTAAAAAGTTAGTCGGGTAATTTTAGTTAACTAAAAAGTTAGTTAACTAATTTTAGTTAACTAAAAAGTTAGTCGACTGAGTTTAGTTAACTAAAAAGTTAGTCGACTAATTTAAGTTAACTAAAAAGTTAGTCGACTGAGTTTAGTTAACTAAAAAGTTAGTCGACTAATTTAAGTTAACTAAAAAGTTAGTCAACTAGTTTTAGTTTGTCTAAAATTTAGTTAAGTATTTTTAGTTAGACTAAAACTAACCTTAACTCCCACCCCTATCTATCATAGATATGTGTTTTAAATTGATATTTTTCCAATTTATTGTTTCAAAAATTATCAAGTTTTTTTAAGAAAAATTATAAAAAAATATTTACCTTAATTGTCATCAAAAAATGTGTTTTTAAATGTCAATTCTTTTAACTTTTTATGTTACTGCATTATGAGACTGATTATGTTTAAAAATAAACACATTATACAACATAATATAAAGTATATACTAGTAGTTGTTGAAGTTTATTTTGATAAAAAAAAAGTTTATTCAAAATTTACTTTTTATTAATTTGCCATTATTTGATATATAATTGTTTCTTTAGTTAATCATGTTTGTCTAAAAATTGTATGAAATAGGAACAAAGTGCATTATTAAAGTGTTTTTATTTTGTTTAATATTAGAAAGATTAGAAAGATGCAACTCTTGATTTTCAACTTGATGTTAAGCTGATTCTGAATTGTAACTTTCTAAAATTGTAGAATATGACAATTTTGATTTTTAACTTTTTTTTTTAGACAATTTTAGCTTTTTTTATATCAAATTAATCTATGAACTTTGAACATACTGATGTGTTAATTGTTTAATATGATATGCTAATCGATTGATATGATATGTTAATTGATAGATATGATATATTAATCGATTTTCAGCTGACTTTATTTTTTGAATCTTCTTAATTGATTTGATAACTATATAAAATATATCCACTATTTATAAAATTATTTTTTGATCTATTCTTTTATCATTTAAGCGTATTTTTGATTGACCAATTTTTCTGTAGATTTATCAACTATGTTTATTTCGGTATGTATTTTGTATGTGTTTGGTAATTTTTATTGTGCCAAAGTTCAATATGGCACAATATAGATTCAAGTCAAAAATTTGAGTTTTTTTTTAAAGTTAAATATGTGCCTCCCAAAACTGAAACTCTTTTTTAAAATGTTTAAAAGTAAAATTTTCTTTTTTTTGTAATAAAAATCACTAGTTAAAAAGAATATTAAAATAAAAATCATTATTTAAAAATTAAATTATCTGATATTTGAAATTAAAAATCTTTAGAAAAGGTTGGAAAAAAAAACTCAATATAGGTTTTTATTATCAATTGGTTGAAAATAAAAGTCTCATTAATTGGTCAAAAACCAAAAAGACTCTATTGGTTAAAAACAATTTAGGCCTCAATAAGACATTTAAAAATTCTTACTACTTTTTAGGTAATGTTTTGTAGATTGAATTATTAGATTTTTTAGATATAATTATGCAACACTTTTTTAAATCTAATTATGCCACACTTTTTTGAATTTAAATGTTTGAAACTATTTTTCCATGTCTTTCTAAAAATCATTTAAAAGATATAAAGATAAATTAAATCTTCTGTTGCAATGGAATATTTTAATTTTTTTTTTTTATTTTGCTTCTATTTTTACAAAGAATTGTTTAAACCTTTTTTATTTTAACTTGACTAACTAATCAGAGCATGAAATGATTAATAATTACCATTTTAAATATAGTACAGTAATTTTTTTAAACAGTTTTTTTTTATCCAACTTTTTGGAAAAAATTAATGCTTTTACAATTTAAACAAAATTTTAGTTGTTTATACTTTATTCATATTTTTGGTTTATCTTTTTCTTATTTTTTTTAATTATATTTTTATATTTGTTTATTAGTAAAAAAATTACTTATTTTTTTAATATATTCTTATATTTGTTTATTATTAAAAAAAAAAAAAATGTGACATTTACTTTGTTTTGAGTGAGGTTAAACACTAAAGCGTGTGTGAATTTTTTGCATTAGATCATCATCATTTTTGGAAAATATGCATAATATTATTATATCGATACCTAGATAATAACAAAGAAGACAAGCATTGAGCAATATGACAATTTTATTTTTATTTATTTATTTTTAATGTTAATTCACTCCCCAAGGCCAAGAAGTCAAGGAGGCTACTATAATTGAACCTCTATAACTCTGCAACACAAACCTTGACAAAAAAGTCCACTGGGCGGAGAAACTAGTTGAACACGGTAATATCAGGGACATGGTAGGTATCAAACTCAGAACTTTTTGCTTATGATGCAAGCGCTCTACCACTATACGACTACCGCAACACTAGTCATTTTATTGTGTATACATTCATTAAGTAAAAGTAATTCAATTCAAGTAATTTATTTTTTTATCATTTTTTTGTTTTGATTTTCCCTTTAATATGTTAATCTATCTGCTTATAAAGATTGCTGGTTTTTAATACAAAATTTAAGCATGATTTATTGTTTACATGTTTTGACTGCTTTTAATTTATTTGACTAACTAAAGCACATTGTTTAACGAATATATTGTACTTTTATAAATAGTATTTTTAAACGCATAATGTAACATAATATATCATATGTGATATATATATTATTATTTTTATTATTTCGATATATGTTATATAATATTTATATATATTAGGACTGTTATATTATGCTATTTATTTCGAGTTGTTTGACAATTGTTATCTTTGTTTCTAGAATAAAACAAAAAAATGAAGTTTATAAAAAAGATATTATGTTTGGTTTGTACCATTTTTATTTCTAATTTCCTTATATGGCGTTTTTTTAAATTCAAAACTCAAGAAATATTGAATAATCATGTTTCTATAAATCTAAAAAGTTCTGGTATTCATGAGCAAAAACAAGTATATGTTTGGGGAAAAGCTGCTATTTCAGAATATTTCTGGACGCACATTATAGAAGGTGTAGTGCAACGTAGTAATAAATATATTTGGGATGAAGGTGTTATTCAAATTAATAGTGTTAAGTTGGTTTATTTTACTGGACCTGCATTACTTCCAGAAACAGCTCCTAAAGATATAAAAGACTTAGTTGTTATACTTAATGGAAGAGAAGAAAAAAAAATCAACGCAAGTTTGAAGTGGCTTAATTCCCTGCTTAATAAAAAATTGTTTCCTTTGCTTCAAAATCTAGGAATTATTATGCTTGGCAATGAGCAATGTAATAATAGTTGGTTAATTGATTTGTGTAAACAGGCTCTTAAAATAAAATTTGTTTTTATTGTTTATGACATTAATTTGTCTTATCCTCCTTATTTTTATTATCAATGGCCATTGGGTGTTGCAACTTATAGAAAGTTTCCACTTATAAAAAGGAATGATGTAGACTTACACTCTCAAAGAATGTATTTTTGTAACTTTTTGGGTACAATTTATAGTAACCATAGCTTATCTTCTCGTTCAAAACTTTTTAATATATTAACTGTTGGTCGTTTAAAAACTTTATGTTACACTAAAGTTCGTTATTCATGGTTACCTGCAGAAACTAAGGAAACATTTGAGCTTTACCACAAAATATTAAAGCAGAGTGATTTAACTTTGTGTCCAGTTGGTTTTAACTCAGAATCATACCGTATTTATGAAGCTATGTCCTATGGAAGTGTTCCTGTCATTGAAGATGTAATGACTCATGGTCAGTGTTCAAAAGATTTTAGCAGTGATAAACATGGTGCACCATTCCGTTTACTTAAAACATATAATGCCCCTGTAATGTATGTACATGACTGGTCTGAATTATTGTCAATTATAGAATTAGAAAGTAAAATGCCACATGTTGAAAAAGTTAAAAGGCGTGAAGCTATTTTACGATGGTACGAAAAATTCAGATCAAAAATGAGAGATGTTTTTTTAGAAGTACTCAGCAAAAGGTTCAAATAGTTAGTTTATTTGGACTAAACATTACTTAAAATATTTATAGAAGTCCATCTTAGCCTGTTTTCAAAATTTCCATATCAAAATACATGTACCACAAAATACTACAACAAATTTTGTTCGAGTCCATACATATTCTGTATCAGTATATAAAAAGAATTAATATGTTGAGTGAAAATATTTATATTTTTTATATCCCCAATATACATCTTTTTTTTTTAACAGCCGTTATTAAAAAATGTAATAATTGAATATGCAAATTATAAAAATTTTCAAATTTTCTATTTTATCTTGCAGTTTCTAATTTGTTTCTTGATTTACTTTATATAAATGTATGTGTATTTTGCATATATGCTTATATAACCAATAATAAATATTTTGACTTTTTTTTTAATCTAATTAAGTATGCTGCTTAGTTAAACCTTTAGTCATTGATTCTTCTGAAATTATTATTAATAATTTTTTTTTTGAAGCCAACCATAATGCTCTAATGTATCAACATTATTCTGTTGTTATATTAAATTTGTATGTAATGTAGAATATTTACATAAACTGTATAATGTATAAATATAACAAATATTTATTTAAATATTTGATGTAAATATCATATAAATATTTGAAATAAAATAATATTTTTGATGCAGGAAAAAATTTTAATAAGATTTATCCATTCAGTATTGTTCTTGAATGTCTTAAAAACCTAAAAAATTTTTTTGTTTATAAATTTGTTCATAATTTATTATATATTAGTAAATCTTGATAAAAATGAATTTTGTATGTTTTATGTTCATTTATGTATATCATTTATATAAATTTAAATATTTATGTACATTTATCTACAAAGTTCATTTATAAGTACTTAGGTACGCAACATTTATATTCAAGTTTTTATGTACTCAGCATTTAAATAGAAATATTTATGCAGATAGATAAAATTTATTAGAACTAGATTAAAATTATATGCTCTAAAAGGCATGCAGTTCTAAATATGGGCACTTGCCCCTAAATAAGTATAAAACATAGTAAACAAATATACTTATACTTTATAAGTATATTTGTTTAATAATGCTATTTGAAATTCTTTATAACTTTTAATGAAAACATTTTTCAAGATAAAATACTAGAGAAATTTAATTTTAAACTTTATTAAGAAGTTGTATATACAGAAACATATTATTATGTATGAACAACTCCAAGATAAAGCAATTTGTGTTTATACTTTAAAAGATTTATCATGCAAAAGCTAACTGATAAACATTTTCCTCCATATTGGAAATAATAATATCACTAGGTAATGCAATACATCTATAATGGGTTATTCATGGCTTGGATAAAATAAATTAGTATAATACATATATATTTATATAAAATTCAATTTGTAAATACAAAATTTAATAAAATAAATAAATAATTTAAATTGTTATCATATGAAGCCCTTTAAAACTACAAATTATGAAAGCAAAAAACATAATTATATTTTTAACACTCTACGATAAATATTTACAAAACTGTGAAAAGCTGTTATAGTCTCATATCGAACTTTAAAATTTTAATAAGCTGTTTCAATAAGTTGTGACCATAACTTGTTTCCGAAAACTGTTTCTATAATTTGATTCTATAAGTTGTTTATATTTATATTTTTATATTTTTATATTTTTATATTTTTATAAGCCTTAAGATTTTTATTCATATACTTTATAGAAGTTTTTCGAAATAAGAGAATTTTATTTAACTTTTTAAAATGACATGTTTTCTGCTTTTACAGTGTCAGTTTGTTTCAGATATTAATATCTCGTTGAGAAAAACAATATTTACAAATGTCAAGTTGACATTGTTGCTACATTAGGTTTGGAGATTTGGAGCTTAATTAATGGTTGTATAATCTAATCTGTATCTAATTTCTAATAGTTTCAAAACTGTGGTACAAAATATTTCTGATAATTATATTGGAAAAAATTTTAATAACATCAAGTTTTTCTGAATTAGCCTTAACTTTTTAAAGGGGATTGCAAGTCCTTAAAAGCTCTTTTTAGCTTTGAATCATCTTCTCGTCTTTGTTGTTCAGGAGCCCCAAAAATGTTGAGATATTTGAGAGATGAAAAAATGTGATTTAAAGTCTCTAAATCTATTTTTTGTTAGTAAGTTTTTTTAACACAGAATTTTTGACACCATTTTACACAAGGGTTCTACTATCAAAATTGATAATCCCTACACCTTGAATGTTCTAATTTTTTGAAAAAATGCAAGTAATGATTTATTAGAAATTAATTTATGACACTGAATAGTGTCTGGGTAGTTCTGGAGAGAAAACTATAAAAGAATCTTTTTTTTTGTTTAAGATGTTGCCATTATTTAGAAGAGATTAAAGAAGCACTTTTTTCGTTATTTATTTTTATTATTATTAGAGTTATTTTCTATTGTTGTTACAATCTATTATTTGCACCAATCTATTATTCATGACCCTGACAACACATAAACATCCATGACTCTGACACACAAACTTAGACAATTAAGGTCACTTTGCAAAATTCATTTTTGAGTTCAAGAATATTGGTTTGATTTCAAGAAAAATGGTTCTTAAGTGAGAAATTAAGCAAATCAATTTAAATTCAAAATTTTAAAAATATATGTTTTAAATTTAGACTTGTTTAAATTTAAACAAGTTTAAAAAAAACTGAAATAAGTGAGCAATAATAAAAATATGCAAATGAAAGTGTTTGTTCTGTCTATTGTTGAGTCTGTTGTTCTGCATATTGTTGAACCTGTTGTTCTGCATATTGTTGAACCTGTTGTTCTGCATATTGTTGAACCTGTTGTTTTGCATATTGTTGAACCTGTTGTTTTGCATATATAGCTAAGTAAACCTGAAAGTACAAAGCTTTTTTTTAATTTGGTTTAATTTTTGTTTGTTTGTATAAATAATAAATAAATTGTTTTTATTTATTGATGGTCTGCGTAATGTTTTTTTCTTATAAAAAATTCAACACCAAAGATGATCTCAACAATGTGCTTAAAAGCAATTGATTGTGGTTTATGATATCTTATAGTATAACTAGGACAAAACATTTAGAAAAGACTTGAAAAAACATAACAGACATAAACCACCAACTTGATTATTGCTTAATACACTCCAATACACTGAAACAGGAACTAATTGAAAAATCTGTTTAGTTGTTCAATAGATAATTTTTTTACAATATTTTTTTATAAAATGCTTTAAAGACTTTTTATCTCTATATGTAAATAACATTGAGAAAAAAAAGTAGAAACAAAAACAAATAAACAAGGATACCAGAAAAAAAAAACAGTGCTTCTAAAATAACTATGATTATATTTTGATGTCTGACAAATCAGAACAACTGCCACAGCAACCTAACAAATCAAAACAACTGCCATGACAACTTTTTTTTTAAATTTATATTATTTATTGTTTTCTTTGTTATTATTATTAATAATATATCAGTATATCATTTACATTTTCTATTTCAATATATATTTGTTTAGCCATCAAGTTCACTTCAATTGGTTCTTGTGTATGAAACACTTCTCGGTAAAGGTGTTCCATCTAAACATCCATATGGTAAAGTTCTTCAAAATAACTTAGCAAGTTTGAATGATATTTGGTTAAAAAAGAAAAAAGAACACCCTAAACTACTATCTTGTGCTTTTAAAAAAAGTAATAATATTTTTATGCTAATATATATATATATATATATATATATATATATATATATATATATATATATATATATACAGGGGCTATTCTAGGAAAAAAATTTGGGTGGTGGTACCCCCGGGTACCCCGGAAATGGGGGTGCCACCACCATTTAGGTGTATCGATTTTCACTTTTTTTCGAAATTTGGTGATGGCTAATATTTTTTTTGTAAATCCATATGCAAAACATGAAAATAATTTTTTTTTGAAAAAAAAATATTTTAAGCTACTATTTAAAAAAAAATATTTTAAGCTATATATTTTTTCACTCTCGAACTTTTATTTTTTTGGACTTTTGAGTTTTTTATTCTAAAAACTGAAGTTTGCTGTAATCTCCAAAGAAGATCGCATTTATTTACCAAACCATATAGCAAACTAAAATTTAACTCGCAAAATTTTGCCAGTTAAATTTGTCCGCAAAATTGTCCATTTCAAAATTTAGTTTAACAAACAACGTGTAAACA